CAACTGATTCTCAACTTTCCAAAAAATCCATTTTGATGCTAAAATTATATTTTATTTGTGTTAACTTGAAGTAGAGGTGAATTCATCTTATTCAATCCAATATTTTTATCAAATAATTATTTTAAGCAATAAATATTAAAATAATCAATAAAATTATTTTCTTAATTTGTATTATTAAGAACAGAATTCAATAATTACATAAGCATTAGTTTGAATTTTCATCAAAAAAACAAAAAATGATTTTTTAGAGAAAGATGACAAAAAATGATAGAGTCAATAAATTGAAAATTTCTAATCTATTTTATATTCAAAAAACTTTAAAAGTCCTTCTAAGAATTTCTAAGATGAATCAAAGCTTTCAAATAAAAAAAATAAACCATTAAAATTGCCCAAAAATTTATAAAAAAATGAAATTTAGACTAGATTGATTCGAGCTTCATCTAACTATCTATAATCATTATAGAGATTGAATAATTCTTTTTTATTTAGTAATGAAGAAAAAAATCTATTCTGAGTTTCGAAATTAAAATTATTCAAAGTTTTAGATGAAGTTTTAAATACAGATGTTATAGTGTTGATAATTAATGGAAAGCTATTTACATTATCTATTTCGTTTTTATAAAACTTATTAATCTCATATTGCTAAAAAACTGATATAAAATTAAGCTTACCCTAATTTAAAAGATTTTCTAATAATTCTATTGCTAGAACTATAATTTTGAGATTCTTCTGATTATAATATTATATATATGAGCAATCTTGATATTGATTGAAATATTGAAATTTTAAAAAAAATGTTTTCTTAATAATTTATATTCCAATTTTGAATCAATTTAATTAATTACCAAAATTGTAGGAGGGATATATAATAAACTTGAAGAAACCATTAGAGAAGAAAATGAGGTTAACATGGAGATCAGATAATCGTAGAAGAATAATAATAGAAGAATCAGGAAATGAGAGCAAGTCAAATTATAGTAGAGTAGATATAGAGATCCTAGATTAGAAGTTGAACAAATAGAATCAGATCATGTAGAAGAGATTAAGAAGTATGGGATGATATATAAGTTTACAGATGCCTTTAAAAACTCAATAAGATTTATATAAGGAAGGATAATCAGAAGGATAAGAAATTCTTTTTAAGACTAGATTAGACGAGAGAAAGAAGGATAGGTTTTTTATAACTTCTAAGGATGTAAAATAGAGTGGCTAGGAGCTAAGAGATTAGAAACAAGGTGACGAACAAGAGAGTAGTAGACGTAAAGACACACATACATCTAGGTATAATAATAAGAAAACAATAACAAAAGTATAAACAACAGTTATTTCAGTTATGATTATTCATTCAATAAACATAATACATTAATATTTATATCCTATATTTATTTAATTGTCTAAAGATATATTTTATAAATTAGGAAGTTGTTCATCAATTTATTATCTTTTTAACTGGAAAAATTAATAATAAAAATTAAACATAAGCTATCTTTTCCATATGATTGAATGATATTCTTGAAGAAACTATCTTGATTTTGAGGATTAATTGTGATGGTATTATGTCATTAGAAATCAGTTAAAAACAATTTTTTAATGTTCTATTTTGATGATGTATATATATTTATAAATTTTTATAGTTTTTAAAGTGACTATAATGTCAAGAGAATGTGTTTACCAACACCCACATTATAGAAGAGACTTGATATTATTTTGATCAAATGGAATCAATTGTGTCATAATTATTTTGGATTTATATTTTAGAATATTATCAATCATTTTTTTAAATGATTGACCTATGAAGGATATTTCAAATGGTTAATAATTGTAATTTATGTATTGTTAATTTTACTTGTTTGTTTGGCATAGAGGTAATTTGCAAGATCAACATATTATTAGGATTCTTCAAATCTATTTAAGCTTTTTAATGCTTATGCTTTATTTTTTAATATTAATTAAAATTTACCTTTATTTTGAAATGCTTTACAATCTTCAGGGTTTTTTTAAATTGCTAAATCATATTATTCTAATGCTTCTTCAAATCTGTTTAAGCTTTATAATGCAACTCCTTTATTCAAACCTAATTTTACCTTTATTATTATATATGTCAGCTTGTTCAGGATTTTTTTAAATTGCGTAATCATAATATTATAATGCTTCTTCAAATCGGTTTAAGCTTTATAATGCAATTGCTTTATTTTAATATTAACTCTAATTTACCTTTATTAAAGAAGGCCATAAAATCTTCGGGGTTTTTTGAAAATGCCTGATCAAAAAATAATAATGCTTCTTCAAATCTATTTAAGCTTTATAATGCAATTGCTTTAGTTTAATATTATTTCATATTTACCTTTATTTTGCAACGACTTAAAATCTTCAGGATTTTTTTAAATTGCGTAATCATAATATTATAATGCTTCTTCAAATCTGTTTAAGCTTTATAATACAA